CCCCCCCCCACCCCACACCTACCCAGTACCTATTCCTAAGTGGTTTTCATGAAGTAGGGCTATGGAAAAGGACGCAAAGTCTACTGAACAAACAGGCCTGTTTAGGTGCGGCTTGACAATCCCTGTGAAGGGCCATTTTCCACACAAAAGCCAGAGATCCTGGAAGAATTTCCATTTCCATGTTGGGAATATAAAACTGTCCTGGTCGTCAGAATCCCGGACTTCAAAATCTACCCAAATATCTTTTCATATATTAACCTCTTATTACAATCTCTTTCCATTAGCATTTTTCTTTTGAAATTACTCAAGGGCCAGCACACAATGTAGTAAACACTCTATGTAAAAGTTTGAGCACTTAATCCTCCAAACTGTGCCATGACTTGGGCTGTTAAAAGCAGGAAAAAAATACAGAAAAAAACATTTATAACTTCTCCTGTTAAGACATTTATCTTTTAAAATTCGGTGCTAGTACACATTTATAATAGTGTTGAATTCTTTGGCCTCTGTATTAGAAAGAGAACATTACAAAGGGTTCTTCTGCAAATTATTTCTAACAACTTCGGCACAACTGGAAGGCTTAGCTCAAGTTTTCCATAATAATGTACTTTGTGCTCAGAATAGTCATATGAAGTTTAAGCCACCAGAAAATTCCTTAGAAAACTGTAATCAGACTGACATTCCGTAAGAGCCAACATAATTCTTAAACACAGAGTGGGGGTTAAAATGCTTACTTTTCTCTTTTTAAGGGCTTTAGGAAAGAAAAATAGTTATGGATTTAGTAATGAAGGGAGCCCACAGGGCCCTTCTGAGGACTAGTCATAAATCATGCTAAGCCATCTGTGATGCAGATATAGCAGGGACAGGAAAAAAGTCATTTTGATATCTGTTTTGCATTATGATAACCTCTGCAGGAGTGTTGGGCGCATTTTTGCTAATATTGACAGAATTATACTTCTTCCAGAGAGAAGTGAGAATGCCTGCCTAGCGCTGCAGTTCACCTTGTGGTGCCGGGTAGGAAATCTTTAATAATCGACCTGATAGGGAAGGAGGAAACTGGTGTGATTGGACCTGTTAGCCTGGTTCTTTCATCAGTCACACCACGATGAGGAAGAAAAACAACAGCCAACCACCACCACCACAACAATAAAACCAAAAGAACTTTCAAAAGCAAATGCATTCTTCAGGGTATCTTGACCTGCATGGGCTAAGAAACATGAAACTTGATCAAATTAGACAGTGTCTTATGGTGCCCCTGTTTACAACGTTACGGGCTCTCTTCATGCATGATTCCAATTAAACAAAAGAAGGTCGTGGTAGGATAGTCCGGGGACTCGGAGAACCTGATGATAACACATTAGTGCAAGGAGAAGCTCATAGAAGAATTGTGTGTTACCCTAAGGATATCCAGTTACAAAGGCAGCATATGGCAGGATGAACCCTTTTAATAAACAAGTAGGCTGTGAGGTCAACATCACCGTACATACTCATAGAAATCCCAGAAATCAGATTAGTAACCATATTATGAGTCAATATATTTAGATTTGCTAGAATATTGTTGCTATCATCAGACTTAGAAGTGCACTCCACATCCCAAAGATAGGTATTTTGTCTGCTATGAGAAGGATGGGGACTGCTGATACTAAACATATTTAATAAGGAAATGTCTGTTTTCCCTTTTTCTCCTCCAGTAGAGGTATCAACATGTTTTCTACAGCATACGGACATGAAGGTTATACCTGATATATTACTGACTTTTTACTGGCATGCAGAAATTCAGAAGTGACAGCACAGGACATTTTCCAAAATGTACTTCTATGTCAGAACGTTCACGAAAATAAGACTTAGACCCAGAGTACATGGCTGAGATTATAATATGAATACTTGAGCCTGAAAGGTCTTAATTAACAGCTTGTGATTTTTCTTGATAGTTCACATAAAGAAAACCAATATAAGAAAACAATAAAGAATAGTATCTCTAAGCAGCACCTAGGAAATATTGTAGCTCTGCAGATTGGAATTTACAGAGTGAACATCTCTGCACAGAATGCATGCCAGCAGATGATCCAGACACGATACTATGGGGACAGCAAGATAAACGAGGATGGACACGTCGTATGAGAACCCAAAGGAACTGCCTCTAAGTATTAAGTTTTATCTGTGAGTTTAGAGGGCTCATTAAATCCAAATGATGTATCTCCATTTTTACTTAAACAGATGCCTTTTACAATGCAAACTTGCAGACAGCCCCATCATATAAACACATCGCCATTGTCCTTTGGATATGACAAGAAAAACGCAAAATAGTCACTGACAACAAATGATAATTGGATGTTCAAATCAATGAATCAAAACCCGTAAAACATTAAAACAAAGTCTCAAAGTAGGAAAAACAAATATACAAATGGAGAACAATCGCCCCAAACCAAAGAAGAAACTAACCCGCTGAGTTGGGAGTGGAGGGCGAGTTAGCTTGGCTTCCATGAGCTGACACATTGGTGGCAGTGACAGCCGTTTTGGCAGCATAAATATTGGCTTCCTCTTGAAATTTACCTATGTTCTTCTTGTACCGGATTCGCTTATTTCCAAACCAGTTTGATACCTAGAGCAACAGGAGAGAAGATGAGAGAATTAGCACTTCACCCATTAGAAGACAGTGCAGAGAAATAGAAGGGTCTGTGAAGGGATGGAGGGGTGGGACGCGATAGTCTGATCTCACTATGACTTTGGTAATACAAAGTAAAAGCCCTGAAGTAAAGGTAAGCTCTCCAGGAAGCACAGCCACCTAGTACAGGTTCTCTGAAATTCCACAAGTCACTCTGACAGCAACTCTCCCTTGGAGGACTTGCTCAAGTAAGCTAGGACTCCCAACTTAGAACCAGTATTTCCAATTTGCATTTTTCCTAATTAATGACATTTAAATAAATGTATTAGGAGAAATGTCTGTTCTTTTTATAGCTAATGCTGACATTGTGCAATCAAACTACAAAGACTTTTAGAATATCCACATGAATCTATACCAACATATGGGTGCTTCCATGCATACATTAATTTCAAATTTTTAGAAGTTAAGTGACCTTAATATGGACTTTGATTCACTGATTATGTTGTACAACCATCTTGGTCTTACATATGCAAAAAAAAAAAAAAAAAAAAAAAGACCCAAAAACAAAAACAACTGACTCATACAACTAATTATTACTTTGAATTCCTGCTTTTAAATGTTAAAGCCAATGAATACAATAAACCTAATTGACTTTCTTTTGTTAATTTATTTCCTTCCTGTGGCTCACAGCAGCTGTCTTGGCTCCAGTTGGTACTTCTCTCTTCTCTTACCAGAAAGGGGTCAGGACATAACATTGACGTTTACCCCAGAAGTCCTGACTCAATCTAATAACACCCTATATTCTAGATGTGATTTTTGACTACACTGTTGTAGCTTTTATTTAATCGTAGAACACACTAGGAAAACTGGGAAGGGGAGAACAAGCTGATTACATATGTACCACACCTCACGTATAATTCACATCAACTCTCCATCAGCAGTGGCAGAAAAAGGAAACGGAAGTTAAAACCACTTATTTTTCAAATGCATTCACAAAGCTAAAAGACTAGGTAACCTTCAAATGCCCGTGTGGCTTATACTATAGCAGAAATGTCGAGTCTCTGTTACAGAAATCAAACTGTACCAGCGCAACATTAGTAAAAGAGAGAGAGAAAAAAAATTCAATAATAAACTGCTTTATTTGTTATAAATGCAGAAAAGCAGAGTTGAATTGGAGGAGGAAGGGTGCTTCTGAGTACAATTCAGGAGCATGGCACATTTAACTGAACTTTGAAATTCAAATTTCTCTCGAGCTAAGTTTCACTATTTATATGAATCAATCATAATTATCAGTGCTTATTGATTTATATGTGCAACAGGGAGGGAGGAAAAAGGTAGGTACATTTTTCAAAAGAAACTGAAAAAAAAAAAGACGAAGGGAATTTAGGAGGATGTTATAGGATGAGAGGAAATGACCTAGGTCCAATTCGATTAGCTTTTTGTGGACAAACAAGAAGGGAAGAGGGAGGTTGGGGATGTGTTGTGGGCAAGATTTCCTGTTGATGTGAGAAGAGACCTGACTGAGAAGATACTAGGTATGTTCAGGTATTTTCTGCGGTGGCTACATTGTGGCATCCTCTACTTCAGATAGTATGTGGAGTCAGTGTTTCATTCATTAACACTCAACTGTCACAGACTAAAGGCCTAATACCCTAGGGATGCCTACGGATGAGGTAGCAAGAGTGAGACAATCCGGAAAGAATAGGAAATGTTGTTGGGGAGTGTTTTATTTAATCTCAAACATGTTATGTTTTGAGAGCCTATGGGCAGAGCCATGCAAAATCCAGTGGGAAGTAAGATACATGAGTTTAGTGTTCCGGGACAAAAGCCCCATCTGGATATTCAAATGGAGTTACATTTGTAGCTGTGTGAGTGTGTAGAATGGTGCTTTTGAGAGTTAAGTGTTCACAGATGGCTTGTGAAAGCAGATTCCAGCTCCTATTCTCAAAGATGTGGCTGGTCTAAGGCTCAAGAGTCTGCGTTGCTCACAGCTCACATAGGTGATGTGTTGCTGGTGCTCACAAATGCTGTTTTCTGAGGTCCACATTCTGAGTAGCAACTCACATGGAAGGAGGGGTCTTCGGGGACCCTCGGGAGAATATAGTCGTTGGAAGCATTTTGGAGGGATTTAGGTATATGAGCCCATTTGGGGGGGGGGGTCACGAGGGAAACCAAGACGGCAGCTACATATCAAAGGAACTTGTGACTGACAAATGATGTGATTAAGATCCTCTGTCTGAAGCATGTACTGATGAAAGCTAAGGAAAGAAGAACAGTTGTAGGATGGGTAGGGTGAGAATGAGGAGACTTCAAAAGACTGAGTGGGGCTGGCCCAGGGAAGAGAAAAAACACAGAGATACTGGCACCAAGAAACGGAGGTTGGTTGGATGGATCGGATCCCACTAGTTGGATGTAAAAAGGGTGTTTATTGAGCATCCAGCTCATAAAGAAACCTAAGAGAAATGGTACTCTTCAGTAGATTTGAGAAGCAGAGGCAGCTTTAATATGCAGCTTCTGACCACTGTGCTTGCTAAATGGTATCATGAAGACTTTCTAAAAGGAAGAGTGAATCACCTAGAACCACACATTAACTCTTGCCAAAAGCAAGCTCCCAGCCTAATATTCTACGAATGGCATCATACTGTTTCTCCCCAGATTTCGCCTGATAATGTAGAGCAGCTTAGCCTGCCTGTTCTTGTTACTGTGGTGGTGTTGGTGGTGGTGGTGTGTATGTGTGCGGGTTGGCAGGGGATGGGGGGCAAGAATGGAATGGCCTTGGGTTAGGTAGAAGAAAGCGAGAGGAAACACAGCATATAAACAATCCTTTAGGTGAACAAAGAATTCACTACTTGGGCTTTTATGATGAAGGAGGTAGAGGTCGATAGAGAAAATGGTAGGGTTTTGATTGGCTGCAGAAGGATTAGTCCTCATTTCTAGATCAATTTAAAAACCTGGAATTATGGATTCAGTCCATGGAGAGGCTTAATTCTACCTTAGAAGTAAAGGACTCTACACCCTAAACCTACTGAGCTGCAACTTCGTGGTGTGGTTCATGCCTTAAAACCATTCTTCAGGTACACCACCAATAGCAAAGAGCATCTGCCTCCCCTCCATGCCGCCCCCCTTTTATAGACAAGAAGTCTAAATCTAGACAAAAATGGTAACACCCTAGAAAAGCACTAAGCTAGGCTACTTGAGTTTAACACCTGGGTTCTGCTTTTCTCAACTGTCAAGACTGGGAGTGACCTTTCAGCTAGGTTAGAGAAGCAATCAGAGGCCTGGGTTAAAAGGCCTATATGTATGCTGCCTTACCTAAGTGGATGTTTCCAAGGACAATCACTACTGTAAAGAGGCCTACTTCTCAAATCTTAGAGAGTTTAATATTTTTCTTATACTTGTTTTGTTCTGAGGCAGGGGCTCAATACTGCTTGCTTTTCTTCTTATGTTCAGTTGGAGATTCCATGTCTACACAATGTTTGTGTCATATATCTTTCCAAGTGAGTAGGCTCCTGTTACAGTTAATGCATGTTGGAAGTACAGAGAACTTGGTGACATTTTGTGAAACCATTCCAATGTAACCACAGTGGCATGCTAAATTCCTTTTCCCAATCAGTTATTAGTCGTAGCGTCAGAACATCAAGAACAAGCACTTACAACCCTTTCATTCAAGTACTTTGATTCACTGAATCTCTTTTTTTTTCTTTCTTTCTTTCTTTTTCAATCTTTTTGCATGTTTTTTTATTTTAATTTTTATTAATTACACTTTATTCACTTTGTATCCCTCCAAAAGCCCCCCCTCCTCCCCTCCCAATCCCACCCTCCTTCTCCCTTTCCACACATGCCCCTCCCCAAGTCCACTGATAGGGGAGGTCTTCCTCTCCTTCCTTCTGATCCTAGTCTATCAGGTCTCATCAGGTGTAGCTGCACTGTCTTCCTCCGTGGCCTGGTAAGATTGCTCCCCCCTTAGGAGGAGGTAATCAAAGAGCAGGCCAATCAGTTCATGTCAGAAACAGCCCCTGCCCCCATTACTGTGTATTTTATGTATATGAGTGCTCTGTCTTCATGCACACCAGAAGAAGGAAGCATATCTCATTACAGATGCTTGTATGCCACTACGTGGTTGCTGGGAATTGAATTCAGGACATTTGGAAGAGCAGTCAGTGCTCTTAAGCACTGAGCCATCTTTCCAACCCTGATCCACTGACTCTTATTAAAGTTCTCCCTGGTTTGGGAGAAAAATGCTAGGGAATCACCTAATTTGGAAGAAACAGCAGAGAAAAATACAGGTATTATATACTAAATGTTAGCCATCCATAGGATGTCCTTCCTTTCCTTTGGTTAGTTTCTTCACAAGCACTGAGAGCTTACCTTGCCCTTTTAAGGCTTTCATTGGTGGATAATACCAAGACCTAAAGGTCCAAAAATCAAACAAAACAAAAACCTCCAGGACCTTGCCAGGACGCTCCATCAGGCATGACTATGACAAGCTGGCTCTTCAAGGGCTTTCTCACCTGGGAGACTGTGATGCCACACTTCTTGGCTAGCTCCTCTTTGGCTTCCTCACTGGGGTAAGGGTTGCTGAGATGGGAATAGAAATATTCATTCAGAATTTCTGTAGCTTGCTTGTTGAAATTCCGTCTCTTCCGCCTTCATAAGGAGAAAAAAAAGGGTTAAGAAAGAAGGTCAACCTAGAGAAACAGAGAGCAGGATAGCTTCTAGAAGAAGAAATATCTTGGCACGAAGAATGAGTTTGAGCAAATTTGCAAATGGGGCCAGATGCCCAAACACTGAGCATAATTGTTTTGTATTTCACATGCACTGGAGAAGAGAACCAAGAACATCTGTACATTTAGGCTTCTCTGGGTTTGAATCCTAGACCAGCTAGATACCTCCCCTAAGCTAGGTATTTCTCTAAGTATCAGCTTCTTCAACTCCATGGAAAGAGTTCCTTGCTAGTGCACAAGGACCATACCCAGGAAGTACATAGTGGGCCATTCAGCAGCAGACAAAAGCCAGACATGGTGGTTGCATCCCAGACCTTGACTTCATGGGAATGAACTCAAGCTGTTCACCACACTTGTGAGATAGATGGGGCTATTCTTATTCATAAATGATTGTGTGTGTGTTGTTGTTGTTTTCAAGACAGGGTTTCTCTGTATAGCCCTGGCTGTCCTGGAACTTGCTCCATAGACCAGCCTGACCTGGAGCTCAGAGATCTGCCTACCCTGCCTCTCAGGTGCTGGGATTAAAGGCATGAGCTGCCATCACCACCACCATTGCCCAGTCCTATTCCCAGATTAAATACAGTGTTCAAAGTCACTCAGCAAGTAAGCTATAGCTCAGGTCTGCTTGGCATCCAACTCACCCTCTTGCTTCTATACAAACTGCATCCTGGCAGTGACACAGAGACTCTGTAGCCCCGAGTTAAAACTAAGTTATCATTTTCTCTCAGTTCTATCCCCATGCAAATGCATCCAACAGTTTAAAAAGCCATCTGGGGGAAAGGGCAGGAAACTGACTGGGATTAACCCCCTGACTGCCTGACCTCCCTCAGAGAGAGAGATGGCATGTCTTTAGCAGGAGCAGCCGCTAAATGGTAAAACAAAAGCTCACAGAATTCTTTCTCATACACAGGTTGCCAAAAGGAAAAAGACCATTTTTCTTTTCATAAAAGCATTTTTCTGCTTTGAAAACAGGGTGCTAATTGAACAAATTTCAAGTGAGAATCACTTTACTGCTTTCTCAGGGCTACGGCCCATGGGTAGTTGCACAGTCTCTTAGAGGACTCTGGGCTCTTTATAGACCTGGCTTTTTTGTTTTGTTTCCTTGAAGTGGGTGAAGCCTCCCTTTTGAAATTCCCTCTATTAGCACATTTACCAGCCTTGCAGGTAAATGTCAAAGTTATTCCTCAAGGCAAATAATTCTAGAACATCTCTGGTTGTGCCAGGATAGAGACTTTCCAAATTTAGCCAACAGAAAGCACCGGTGGCCAAGCTAGACTGGAGATTTAGCTAATGTTGTATTTTCAGGGTCCCTCTTGGCTTAATTAACACAATAAAGTACCTGATTTTACCGGATGAACACCATCTGGCCACAGGTACCAACCACATCTGTCTAGATAATGCCAAGCCCAAGTCACTTTCCCAAATCATGCTGAGTTTCTGGGTCATCCAGCATCAGAAACTGGACAGATTGTATTTAAAAAGCCCCAAGGCAAAGGAGGCACGTGAGGAAAGCCCTTGCCTAACGGAAACTGAAGGAAGATGGCTTCTTGGTTAACACGCCTGCTGGGTTTGCCTTCAGAGAACCTCTTGCTGTTTTTCCTACAGATAGCTATTTTGAGGCTAGGGAACTGGACCTGGAATGCTTCTGTCACTGGGAGAACCCCAAGTCCTTCAGCCCATTATCTGCAATTAGCACTAGAGTGTATTTTTTGGGAGTCTTCCAAGTGAGCTCAAAGGAAACCTCTCTAGAACGAGCTGGTGGTGTGGGGATGGTGCAGACAGCTGTTGCTGGCTCTCTCAGAGTCATGACGTGCAATCCTCCCTAGGTGGTCTCACCTACTCGGATAGACTCACTTATCACTTCTCTCAGTAGCTATCTTAATCTGTCTCTGAAATGCCGTGATCAGGATTTTTTAGAACTTCAGGAAATGTACTGAAAATAACTCGTGTCTGAAGGTAAGGCTGAGTGAGAGCTGAGGCAACTGCTTTCTTTGCTCTAATGTTACTGGCTTGTAGGTTAACGCTTGGGATCTTCAGCCAATGAGAAGCTGAAGATCACTGTGGATCATGAACTCGTGTGTGTGTGTGTGTGTGTGTGTGTGTGTGTGTGTG